GTTTGTTTATCATAGTAAAAGAACAAATTAAAATATAAACTTTATAGCTTTTATAAGATGGTAAGATAAGAATTTAATGCAAACATAAATATTTGCTACTTTTATAATTAATTTTAATTTCTTTTATTTCGAATAATATAGCTGTAGAGCAAATTGGTATTTTGCTTCAGAAAGATGTCAGAAAATTCTTCTCCTGATAATGAAGAGAACAAATTCACCGTGCAAAATAACCGCTGGCAAACTAGTGATTTTATCCATCGAAAGCTTCGGTGCAGTAAGTATAAACTATCTTATTATGTAATTTTTATTATCATAAATCTAAAAGAATTTTTTATTTTTTTAAAGGTTGTGAAAGCTTCTGTATCTTATCTTACCATGTTTTATTCCCTTCGAAAGTAATTCAGCATATCTGTGCATCTTACTTGTAGTAAGCAATTTTCTTTATATAAAAGATAAAGTTATCCAAAACGAATTCCAGATCTTTATAATAAAATGAAAATTTTGTTTCTTATATATACATATAAAACTTGTAATATAAGTTTCCTATGTTTCTTTATGTTTTTCGGCAATTTTGATATTGCATTTATTTCTATATTAATATTTGTTTGAGTTGTACATTCGTTCAAATTTCTTGGAAATGTTCAAAATGGAAATTTTGCGTCCTGGAATTTTGTATACTAAAAAAAAAAGAATGATAATTTTAGCATCAGAAAATAAATAATGATGTAAACTAAAAATTATTTGCAAATTCTAGAATCCCAACATTTCACTAATAGCACATCGATATCGATATTTCATCAATTTCACGAATCTAATTCGTAAATATCGAAACTTGTAGAAACAAAACTGTAAATTTATGTAGAATTATTAATCTCATATATTCCCTTGTTTGCTTTTTACTTATTATTTATTTTCTTCAATCGTTAAAAACGTATAGAGTTTTGTCTTTCCATGTACAAAACAAAATCATTCAATATATCACATTTATTCTATATATTGTCATTAATACAGGAAATTTAAGGCCAATTAACTATTCAGGAAAATTAGAATAGATCTGAGTAGAAAGCAATAATGGTCGAACAATTTAAGTGTTTTAATACGGAAGATCCTGAGCTCGACTCCCGGACAAAGATTCCATCAATTTTCCTGTCTTTTAAAATTATAAGGAATATAAAGTTAAAAGAAAATCCTTTTTCAAAAGATAATTATGTAAAATTATCTTTAAAAATGCAAACTGACAGGGTTGGAGAATCGCATGCTTATTCTTCGTAATTACAATGCTATTATCGAATAGAAGATAAACAGAATAGGTAAATGAGTTTCTGCAAGTTGTCGGAAACATTCAGTGGAATCGCTGGTTCCCCGTAGTAGCAAAATGAGTAACACAGACAACTTTTATCGGTGTTACAAGATCTGTAAATTATTCATGATCATCTGCGAAGTATGGCCATATGACAGACTTTTCACCAGATATGTTAC